ATGATGATAGGCCAGTGACATACCAGTCTGTTCTACCAGAAACAGGGACACACACAGTCCTATATTAGAGTCTGCTTCTTTTCTCTCACTTCTCACTGGATTGCAGCAGTTTGGGCCCAGTGAAAATCACTGCTCTGAAACGCCTGATGGCTATGCAACAGTGTGTCTGCCAACAAATTATAGGGGCTGAACATCTATTATAAGATGTCAATCAGCCACACTTATTCAAAAATATTTTAATGTCTGAAAAGTAATTTCCACGTGCTCATGTTAAATCATTCATGACAAATGGTGAAGATAAAACGGCGTGAAAGAACATATATGGAGATGACTTTCATGCGGACCCCATGCGTGGACATCTCTGTTCCGTTTCCAAACCCTCGGCGCCCTGACACTCACCACAAATATCTGGTTCTGTCAATCAAATTTAACAAGCTATAGATGGAGGAAGCAGTGATGGGGTGGAGGAAGGTGGGGGAGGAAATGTGCTGGTGACTGCCCTCAAAACGAGAGGAAAAAGGAAAAAGACCAAGAAACAGATTCAAAGGAGTGACTTAAAGTAACCACAGGCTAGAGAAGCACGTAATGACTCGGGCTTATATTCATCCTGTGTTTGCCCAGCCAAAGGCTTCACCTCAGGTTGCCCAAGCCTTCTGATGGCCAATTAATGACTGCCGTGAGAAAAATACAACATAGTTAAGCCTTTTAATTGTGTTGGAATAGATGTTGAGAGTGGGCATGAAAAAATAATAACTTAGTTCACAGAATTAATAAGAACAAAAATCTCTTTCAAAGGTAGATTGAACAGTATGAAATCCACAACACTACTGCCAGATAGAATAATTGAGATGGCATTTGGAGACGGAGCAAGTGATCAACTTTCAGTTCTTTCTGCTGCCCCTTTACCTGCAACCAATTTATTTTTCTATCAAATTACTACTGACTGCATGCAATTATTTGTGTTTCTGTTCTGCCTCACCAGCCTGGTCCATTGATCTTGGGTTGAGCTGTTCATACTTTAATTTTGTCAAGAAAAAACGAAGCTAGCAAACAGTCATGCGTTGTTGTGATCATTTGTATTCAGGGCCTCAGAGGTTCAGTCCATAATGGGTTTGCTTAGTCATCATTATCACTGCTAACTTTAAAAGTTTGGATCAATTGTTTTTTTTTCTTGGATAAATAAATTTCCTACCAGCTGCAGATTTAGTGAATCGTGCTATTCATTAAATGTTAGCATGCTAACAATGTAACAATGTAAAAGGCTGAATTCAGTGAACATTATGGATCCAGTTTCCTAGAATTTAGCCACACTCTAAGCCCTCCAAAACATATCCCGCCTCATCTCTTTTTTTAACACTTTAAAATCAAAACTTATTAAATCCATTAAATAGGGTTTGAATCTAGGTATTTAAACCAAAAAACTTACCATGGAAATGAGTTTATTGACCTTTAAAACCAGTGTAAAGATGGCTACTTTTTTTATACAACTGGAATCATAGTCAATACAAAAATACAAATTTATGCACATACAGTGCTGTGAAAAAGGATTTGCTGCCATACATTTTTTTAATAATAAAAATGATGATTATTATTGTATATTTGGGAAGCAATCCTACTTAGACTCCTCTGTGGTTATGGCAGGCCGTGTCTAAAGCCCTGTGATATTGTTCTCGAGGCTGACTGGCACTTGCAGTGTGTTTCTGCAAAAAGTGGATCACCTCATTGACAAATCTCATTCATCATTTCTTTCTGTGCTGGGTCACTTTCGTCAGGACTGTTTCACTGGCCTTAGTGATTGCTGAACTCTGAATACAGCACAGCCGTGTCTGGAACATTGCTTTGACTTTTTCATTCACTGCTTCTGGTGAGCTTTCACATCATAACAAAAAGTCAGACAGCTGAATCACAGGCCATGAAAATGTTCTTTTGCCCCCTTTGATAATTTTTTCTTCATCATTCTCCACTTCCCCTCTCATCCTCCTCCGTTTGACAGCCTCTCTTCCACCGTGTTCTTAATCTTTCTTTTCTTTAAAAATATTATATTGTTTTCAAAAGGCCATCTGTAGCCCCTTCAGCCAGACTAATGATCTTCTTTAGACGGCTTTTAGGCTGATTAGCAGCATGCCAAAAATACATTCAGGAGAAGAAAATACGCAGAATGCCATGAAACATCTTTTATCGAGTTGAGGTGAATTACTGAACTAATCATTTTATGATGATAACATTTAAGTTGAAATCACATTGTTTTATAAAATTAGTTAATATGATTTTCAGAAACTGTATCATGGAACAACATGTAGACTGTCATTCAATGAATTCAACACAAATCAATTTAACTTTAATGTGAGGTCCAAATCCAGCTGCTGACAACATCAGGAAAGAGCCAGTGAAGACTGAGAAGCACTGAGTGCATAAGGAACAACTGAAACAGATGACGTGGTCCCTCATGTGTGTGTGTGTGTGTGTGTGTGTGTGTGTGTTGAATTACCTCATCCCAGGAGTCGGTGTGGCCTTCTGAACTCTAGCTAATGCACCTGTTTGTCATTACACTTATCTGCTTCATGTAACCCCTGCTTTCTTCACCATTCATCTCCAGATTGTTGAGTTGCTCAGCTGGTAGAATAGCCCAGACTGCTTTTTGTTTTCTAAAATTACATACCCAGCCTATCCTTCTTGTCAAGCAAGTGTTCTCAGTGGGTCTGGAAACCTATCTATCTTCTACCTTCTGAAGAGACTTACCTGAGAGCACAGCTAAACAAAGAATGTGGTTAAAACGAACAGTACCTGTGAGGTCAGCTAATCAGAGAAGGGGATTTTTGAAACTTTGGATACATAATAGCAGGCCTCTGGAGAAACTCACCTGTGAACTAAAGCTATCAATGCAATATTTTTATCATGTAGCGAGCAGGTAGTGGACCCAAATGCAGAACGCAGGACTTGGAAGTGGAACACATAATCAAGCCTTTATTGCTGGGTGTTTAAATAAGTTCAAAATGATCCATTGGAAAAGCTGACTGGGGGATATAAACTCCTAGGGAACACAGGGAAACTTGGGAAGCACAAGCAAGAGAAAAGACAGCAAACAGTAACTACGGGAACCACGGAGCAGACAAGCACACAGTAATGGGGGAGAACATGACAATGAGCAGAAGGTGACACAGACAATAAACAAGATAACGAGGGCAGTGGAAACAGGTAGGAATACAGCTGAGACTCAAAACAAGACAGAAGGAAAACTAAACAGAAAGTACATAAGATGAAGGACTAACAAAATAAAACAGGAAGTAACTAAGCACGAACTCACAGACAGACGAAAACATGATAAGAAATGGAAACAGATGGGAAGCTAACAAAAACGAGGGATGGAATGGAAATACAACCTTAACTGAAAATAGAACCCAGATAAATAAAACTAGAAACACAAACACAGAAGAAAACTAAAGATATCAAGAACAAAGGGAAAAACAGAGAAATTACAGCAAAGATGACACAAACGGAAACAAGACAAAACAAAGAGATGGGATCAGAACCGACACGAGAACACAAGGGAGGCAAAAATACATCCATCCATCCATCCATCCTGTCGCTTCCGCTTATCCTTTCCAGGGTCGCGGGGGGCGCTGGAGCCTATCCCAGCTGTCATAGGGCGAGAGGCAGGGTACACCCTGGACAGGTCGCCAGTCTGTCGCAGGGCGGCGAAAATACATAAAAAAATAAAATGAACCACTGAATAGAAGCAGATGAGAAACAAAACCCAGGAATGTCAATATGAAGAGAAATCAGGAAATGCTGAAATTAGACAAATCTCTAAACACTGGGTTCTAAACTGCTAATTAAAGCTGTTAACCTTTTCCAGTACGTGAGTTTGAGTAACAGAACATAGTATACAGAGGACATGCTCTTTTTTTCTTAGTGTTGCCCAAACACCATTCATTTACTTTTCATTATTAAATTTCCTGTGTGTGTTTGATGATCAGTGAAAACGTGCTCAGTGAGGCTCATAGGCACTGTATATGCTAAAGAAGAGGGATCAGATTTTTATGGCTATATTAGGGCTATATGTGGTCCAAAAAGATGCTTATCTTGGGTTTAATTCGGTTAAAATATGACAGACTAGTAACTATGAAAGCAGCAGGTGCAGTGGACATGTGATATCAAGGTCTGGAAACGAAATAAGACTCAATTGAAGCAGTTGAAGCTTTGTTGTGTTCATCTGACTGTTAATTGTTAAAATGTTTCCCACCTGGATCAAACACAGTCTGGATATTTCTTCTGTTACAACACTGAGATTGAAGTGCAGAAGAAGCTCAAACTGTGCTTTTTATCTACAGTAACCTCCTAACTATAGCACCAAATAAATGCACTGCAGTATTTTCACTGCTTGGTTTTTTGTTTTGTTTTTTTACCTTCCTGAATTTTCTTCAATTCACCCCAAACCAAAATCTCGGACAATGACAAAAAAGCAAATCCTTTTGATGTTAAAGAGGCCTGCTGTTGCAGCTCAGGACCATAATGACTATTTCAGACTGCATTTGTGGCCAACATACTCGAGCATATTGAATGAACTTTTGATCTCTCTGCCATGTGCAATAATAGAATGAGTATAGAATGATTGAAGGTAAAAAATTAAGCTGTTCATCATGTGGGTCACTGCCTCTGGTGGTCTTTTTACCGTGGATTTGTCTACTGCAGGGTTCATCCAGAGGAATCTCACACGAATATATAACTGGAAAAGTTCATGACATCTTTTCTTGTTCCTGAAAACTGAAACCCTGAACAAACAGATCTCAGCTAAAAATAAAGTATACCTTACACACACACACACACACACACACACACACACACACACACACACACACACACAC